AGAGCCGGCCCCGGACCTGAGGCCCGAGCGCGGGGCCTCGGGGAGCGCGGAGCGGGCGCCGCCGGCCCTGGGTGGAGCTGCGCCGTGAGAAAGGCGCACCCACCCGATTCACGAGGCGCGCAGCCTAAGCGGAGGGTCAGGGGTCAGAGGTCGACGGGAACGTGGGCTGTTAGACTTGCTCTTGTGTTCCAACGCCCCATTAGTGACCAGATTCTTAAGGGAACAGCAGGCTACAAATCGCAGAGGACCACTTGTGCTTTACATTTGTGGAGGTTATACGGATTCGGTTTTGGGAAAAAAAACTTTAAAAAAATCTAACTTCCCTTGTGCTTCGTTCCCCTCCGTTTAGCTGTTAACTTATTTCAACACTGATTTGTATTTATTTTTGAAACTCTGCGTAGCAAGCCTAGTAAGAACGGCGCCCTGAGCAGTCGGTCTCGCGCGCCGTTTCCGTAGCCGACCTGCGCCGGGGAGGCAGCCGCGCTGTGTCGAGTCCAGCGCCGCGGCCTCGCCAGGAAGTACCCGAGTGCAGAGGCGGGCAGTTAGGATGTTGGGCTCTGGAACACATGTCACTGGAAAAACACTTGGAAAACAGTGGAGTGTTAAGACTGAAAAAGTAGGCTGAGGTGTTTGAATAGAGGATTTTTTTTTTTATATCCACAGGAAGAGGGAGAAAGAGTGAGCACCAGTGAATGAAAGGCAACATTTAGGATCCGAGTAAAGGGGCTCGGAGCGCTCATGTTCCAACTTTTAAAAGTCGAGGACTTTCCAGTTTCATCTCCCACAACTCAGTCACGCCTCCCTTTACCCAGTTCCTGGAACGCATGTTGTTTTGTGCCTCCTCGTTTGCATTCTTACTTTCCCTTTGGCCAGGTATTAATCACATCTGACCCAAATAGCATTTTACCATGGTGGTGGATTGAGCTGTTACCCCATTTAGAGGATTGAGCAGTAGCATTTTTAGTGATTGTCCATGAAGTCTTTACATTAGATCATGACAGCTGCATTGATTAGCATTGATGGTGCCATATGGCAAGAAAAAAGTCCCCAGGGAGATGAGTAGGGTGAACTCAGAAGATGCTGGAGCAAAGATTTAGTAGGCTGTACTCCTCGGATAGTGGTTGGTGATTAGTCACAAGCCTATACATACGTGGTCTGGGAGCCAATAGGCCAGAATTTGCTAAAGCAGCAGCCACAGTATCTAATGGTGCTACACACCTTTTAGAAATGAAAGTGCCACCTTTCCATTCATTCAGAGGCAAATCTGATTCTCTGGTTAAACAATCCTTCCTTTTTCTTTACTCCCATTCATATTACTGTATTGCTAACAATAGTGTTAACAAGAGCACATGCAATTTGTGGAGCACCATTAAGTGCTAGGCACTGAGCAGTGTTTCCCTTGGATCTCCATTGTTTTCTGGTAAGTACTAACATGATCCAAGTGCTGTTGTGTCACCTTTTTCCCAAGCAGACTTTCAGAGGTGACATGCAGTCATCTTAAATGCTAGCTATATGTCATTGGTCTCTCCTGTACTAAGCTGCAGTGATAAGCTCCTAATTGTGGAATTGATGGAGTCTGTGGTCCTGCAATTCAGGTGCACACCTAGTCCTCCAACAGTAATGCTTTCTTGGCTGGAAGAGATCACAGCTGTCACCCAGGCTCTGCTAAATCAAAACAGCTGTTCTGGGATTCCAAAGATCTTAGAGTCCCCTCCTCCTCCCCAAAAGGAATCAAATGGGGTTAGGTACAAAAAGAAAAAAGTCAGGATTACCCTAAGGTTTAGCTACTTTCCTTTTTTTTTTTTCATAACTTTTTTTTTCTCATTTCTGCTGATGTGCTGGAGTATTTCAGATTGTATCTGCTGCTAAGTATTTTTCAGAGGTCAGGTTGCTTGGTAAATCAAGCTTATGCTGCTTATGGGTGCTTTATTCTCTGTGTCTGATCAGCTTTTCAAACTCTGTGTGTCATCTTTTTCTAGACTACCCTGGCTCACATCATAGCCAACAACAGCAAGAAACATAGCATAAGATTTGTGACGTTGTCTGCAACAAATGCCAAGACAAATGATGTACGCGATGTCATAAAACAAGCCCAGAATGAAAAGAGCTTTTTCAAAAGGAAAACCATACTTTTTATTGATGAGATTCATCGGTTCAATAAATCTCAGCAGGTATATTAACTTCTCTACCTTTCAGTCATTGTGAACGTTAATTAAGTAGAATATAAAGTATGTGAGGTCACTTTGGAAAGCATTAAGCACTATACACGAGCTAGGGACTGTTGTTATTAACTCTTTCTACAAAGAAGCATAGGCTGCCAACCCATCACTTTTGAGCCTTTTCTCCACTTTGTCTAAGTGTTTTTCATGACAAGATAATGCTTTGTCTAGCTGATAATTCAAATTATTAGTATATTCCTGAGCTATACATGCCAAAAAAGCTGCTTTGGATGAAAGTTTCAAATTTTTAGGAATTTTTAATGTAAATATTAACAGTTATAGTGAATAGTTACCTTAATTTTAAATTTCTCCCCTTGTAATGTGTTTTTTCTTTAAGTGTTACTTTTTATTTTCAAGATTAAAGAGTCTATTTTCTATAACTTCAGGTTCTCAAGGTAAAAGTTACAAGATCTAATTATTACTACTTATTTAAATGGCTTTCTAAAGGAAAGCTAAAAGGATTTCTTGTAAACAAAGCCACATTTGGTATTCTTCCTAAATAAACATAAACCTTTTTTTCATATACACTTTTTTTAATACATATTTATTGCAGCTTTTTAGTAAGAGATGGAAATATTTTACAAAACCCTACTAAGCTTTTTTACCTGATTTGAATCTCTGACTAAATAGACCTTTAGAGTTATGATGGGATATTAGCACTCTAGGTCTCATATTGGACCATCGAGTCACCTTAGCATCTCTTTCCCACATAGTCACTGATGTATATACATATGTAATATGTACATGTATGTATACACACACATCTACATAGGTATATTTACCCAGTTTGTTAGGAAGAACAATATGACTGCTCGCAGTGGAAGAAGATTTTGGAAATATTAATGTTTTTGTGTTTTCTTGGACTTCTGTAATTAAATAGCTGCTATATTTGAACTATGCCCATTTAGCCTTGGGATAAAAGATACTTTTCTAAGTAAAGAAATCATTTATGTAGAAACTAGAGTAGACTTCTACTTTGAGCTGATAGTGTACCAGCAAGAGAGAGGCTTAGACATTGACATTCAAGAAGATGTGTGTTAGGCTTAAAAAGCACTGGTTGTGTTCTCCTGCTGTTGCATCTACTGTTGTGTTCAGTGACTATAAAGCTGCTATTCCTGGAATCAAACTTAGGAAAAGGAAGGAATGGATGGTCAACTTACGTAGCACTCTGCAGGTTGTCGTTGACTGGAATCAATGTCTTCTGCTTTCCTCCCATGATTAGGACACGTTCCTTCCTCACGTGGAATGTGGGACAATCACTCTGATTGGGGCAACCACGGAAAACCCTTCTTTCCAAGTCAACGCTGCTCTTCTGAGCCGATGTAGGGTTATTGTTCTCGAGAAGCTTCCGGTAGAGGCAATGGTGACTATTTTAATGCGAGCAATCAACTCACTGGGCATCCACGTCCTAGATTCCAGCCGTCCCACGGACCCTCTGAGCCACAGCAGCAACAGCAGTTCTGAGTAAGTTGACTGTGCAGTGTCCTGGGGTCACACATCTCCCAGAATCCCCTGGCTGGGGCCCAGAAAGGGCTGGGCAGCAGTAGGGAGAGGGTAGATACGGGAGAAATGCAGTGAAGACGAGAGTAGGGAAGTGCTGAGATACACCAGCAAGTATCTCTACAGATAGTTTCTTTTAAGATGTGTTTTGTAGTTTATAATGGCTGTATCTATAACTCTTCAAGCTTTATCATTGCTTTGCCCATTATTTTAGTTTTTGGGTGTTTGCTCTTGTGCTTTAGGGATGTGGGCCTTTACCTGGTACACTTTTTTAAAAGTCTTGGAAAACTATGGGAAGCCTTATTATTTTCTTTTATGTAACAGACTTAATTTATAACTCTTTTGAAATTTATACTCAGATTCTAATTTCTTTTCTTCCCCGCAGTTTACTTCTTTTAAAAATATTAAGTAGAAATTAATGTAAATGGTACCATAAAATCCCTTAAATCATTTAAGAATGACTTGCACACTCCAAAAGTCAAACTCAGTTCCATGGAAGTAAAGTAATTTTAACTGAAAGACACATTAGAGGCTGTCCCTTTCCTCCAGGTAGCCTACCTCTCTGTACATGAGTGCTACATGAGGTCCTTCATTCACAGGGTATGTATCATGAATGATCAGTTAGATTACTTGATTTAGAGGTTTTCACTTCTTTACATTAGACTCTATTCTTCAGATGTCACTGATTCATGTGTCAGCTGAAATAATGCAGTGGAACTTAATCTGATGTTATGGGAGGCACATGCCTGCTCTTCATGCTGGGACTCCGCAGCTGCTGTGCCTGCCCTGAGGCCAGGGTCTGGAGCCACTCTTCTGGGAGGATTAAGTACGAGGCCTAGGCTCAGGGTTTAGGTTTCAGCAGTCCCTCCCTGTGCACCTGGCCTCTCCCATTTGCTCGTGTCTCAGATATAGGAGGAATTATGCTCTGCCTCATGAAGGACCTGAGACCCAAGGACCCCAGGTGGAACAGAGTCACATTATTTTAGAGTAGAGTTGCAATGGGATAGCCATCAGAATTGTGGCTGAGAGGATGTACAGAACTGCTGGTATCAGTCTGTTGTACTCACAATTAGGATCCCTTTGTGTGCCGGACCCTTGTTCCCTCTTCCAATCACTGCTGTGCCGTGATTTAAGTGAAATGAGAAGGACATTACAACCTTGGAGCTTATCTTAAAAAGGATTCCTGCGTTTTAACAGGATTCCCACTTCATGTGCATGCACACAAATCTGAGAGGAGCAAGTGAAAGAATTAAGTGTTTGTATTGCTGAAACTGAGAGCCTGATGCAAAAGTGAGCCAGTGATTCTTAATCTGCCAAAATTGCCTTCCAGTCAGATAACACCTCCTCTGTCCAACGGATCATTTACTTTTCCATTACACTCGTTTAGAAGTGACCCTAGGTATGACTTCCTTTCATTCTCCAGTTTGCTTGCTTGTATCCTTTCCCTTCTTGTTCATATCCCCAGCACCCAGCACAGTGCCCAGCATATATGTTTAGTAAATGGTTTGTGAGTGAATGAATAAATCCTAGCTTTCAGTATGAGAGAAGTAGTTTAATATTTTGTGTAGCCTGACAAGGGATGATTGCCCACTGCCCAGGTACCAAGAACTTCTTTCTTTAGGGTGACTGCCAAGCAGCTAGCAGCAGGCAGAGCAAAATGAAAGATTATTAAGCTTAATTAGTTGGTCTGCTTGTTGGAAATTCTAACGGGTTGGGAGATGTCATAAGCCATAGAAAGAATTCTTACATTATGAGTGATTTCCTAGTAGAAGTACTTGGCCACCTCAGCTGCCATGGATCACTAATAGTGGATTGTGCTCTTTCAGTTTTAGGTAAAATCTTACTTTCAAATTCCTATTGATTGGCATTAACTACATACACATTCTTGTGGACACAAATTAGACTTAGTTACGATAATCTAGTGGGAAGGCTCTCAGGAGCCAGCCTGAAAGACGAACTAACCTGAGTTCGAGCAGTGGGAATTAAAGAGACAAAGTTATGGGATCAGGAGGGCTGCCCTCCAATGAGGTGCGGCACCAAATGGCTTCAAAGACTTTATTATATAGTAAGTAACAAACAATTAGTAATGAGATGAGGGTGATACAAAGTAGTTCCTTCAAGGCTGCATGCATGCTCTTTCAGAGTAAACGCCCTGCCTCCTGCATGAGCTCAGACCTTGGNGGCACCAAATGGCTTCAAAGACTTTATTATATAGTAAGTAACAAACAATTAGTAATGAGATGAGGGTGATACAAAGTAGTTCCTTCAAGGCTGCATGCATGCTCTTTCAGAGTAAACGCCCTGCCTCCTGCATGAGCTCAGACCTTGGTAATTATTCTTATCTTGGCTTCTAATGGGAACTTGTGGGGAGGGTTGAGTCCTTGGCTCCAGGTCCTCAGGCTACGTGGACCATGTCCAGACACGTAGCGGGCTCTCAACATCAAGGGTAATTGTGGGAAGGGTCGAGTCCCTGACTCCAGACCCTCAGGTGGTGTGGACCATGTCCAGACACGTCACCAGCTCCCAACAGAAGGCAAGACTTTTGACCCCAAATAATTACTCTTTCTCTGGAAAGCTATAAGTGTTCATTTGTATTCTTACGTTTTCGTGCCCTAGATAGCAACTAGAACTTTTTCAGAGAATTCCCAGGCTGTTTAAGGCTGTGCATGAGAGGAGCTGAGCAGGTACTGAATCTGGAAACTAATCAAGCCAATGCTTAACACAATTCTTGATTCTACTTGAGGAATTGTGAATTCTTATACAGTATGTACTTGTATGTCATAAATTCTCATTAGCACCCTGGCCGGTTTGGCTCAGTGGTTACAGCGTTGGCGCTCAGACTGAAGGGTTGGGTTTGATTCTGGCCAAGGGCACGTACCTCAGTGGCAGACTCAACCCCCAGCCCTGGTGGGGGCACGTATGGGAGGCAGCCAATCAATGTGTCTCTTTCACATCGATGTTTCTCTCTTTCTCTCCCCCTTCCACTTTCTCTGAAAAAAAGCAATGGAAAAAATATCCTCAGGTGAGGATTAAAAATAATAAATAAATAAATACAGACATACATACATAAAATTCTCAGCATGAGATGAAAGTGTTCTGTTTTTTATTTCCCTCATATATTTAGCCTGAAGGTCAGTGGGCATAAGAAATGCAGCTCCTAGCCAGCCAGCTTCACAGTATTGTCACGGACATGGGCTTTACCATTTCTGCTCTACCATTTTCAGAATAGGGCTCCTACCTCGCGCCCCAGGGTAACCTGTTACTGGAAGACCAGCCATTACATTTGCATTCCAGGCAACAGGAAAGTAGGGCCAAAAGCTAGCCTATCACATCCCTCATCCTCCAGTTTCAGTGTGACATCTGCAAAATTGTGCTCTACGTATGCTCAGGTGTAGGTAAAATGGAGATAAACTGGTAATTTATGTTGGATTATCTCTGCCATAGTTCTTTGGTTTGTATATGTCATCAACAGTTTTCATGTATTTTGCTCTCTAAGCATTTGTGTCACATGGTACAGTAAAGCATGCTATCTGTGCATTGGGTTAATTTTGGAGACCAGAAAAAATATCCTTGGTCTATCGTCTGCTGAGCTTGTGCCGCTGAAAATGAGAAAGTAAATTAGTGTTTAATCACCCTGCAGTGCTTCCTACTTTGAAGGATTGTACATTCCAGATCATAGGACACATGCGTATTCAAAAACACCCTTAAAGAATCAGTTGTTTGTAGGCCAGATACTAGCGCATAAGTTTGTGGACCTGAAGAGGGTGAAATGGGATTCTGTAACTGCCCTGTTACTGTAATAGGCAGAGTCCAGGAGCTGGTTGAAAGTTGAAGTGGCTTCTGTACTGAAGTGAAGATGCTGTGACTCGACTCTGAGACTAGGCTCTTCTCTGGTCCTCCTAAGAGGAGAGCCCAGACAGGTGGCCCAAAATGAGGCTGTAGGCTTATTTCTTGGTTGTTTTGGGGGTTTTTTTGTTTTGTTTTTTTAATTTATCTTTATTGTTGAAAATGTTACAGATGTCCCCTTTTTTTCCTTCCGTTGGATTTTTGTTTTTAATAACAGTTTGCACTATTCTGCCTACCCTTTAAAAATCCTCATTTTTAACTTTGAATAGAAAGAACAGAGGTAGAACACCAATATAGGAGGTATGTCAGGAGATGTGGATTTTAATCGTTTTTCTTAAAAATGTTTTGATATAAAGAAAAATGTTACATTAACATACATTATTAAATGGTGACATAAAAACACTGGCAACTAGAAAGAAATCTCAGGGTCCTTGTATTCTCCCCGTGGCTGCTGTGGCAAATTACCACAAACTGTGTGGCTTCAAAGAACACAAACTTATCCTCTCACAGTTACGGAGGCTTGAAGTCTGAAATCAAGCTGTTGGCAGCGTCACATTCCCTCCAAAGACTAGGAGAGAGCCCTTCCTTTCAGGTTCTTTTGGCTCCTGGCATTCCTTGGCTTATGGCAGGATCACTCCAGTCTCTGCCCCCATCTTCACATGGTCATCTCCTTGTGTCTTCTTTTCTGCTGTCTTTTATAAAGACATTTGTCATTGAATTTAGGACCCACTCTAAATCTAGAATGATCTCATCTTGAGATCTTATGGTAGTTACATTCACAGGTTCAGGGATTAGGATTTAGACACATCTTTTGAGACTGTTATTCATCACCAAGTGTGTTATATATAGTGTAATTAGGACAGTAGTGTGCCTCCCTGGGATTAAACAGAGGGGCATCATCTGTGAAGTTTATATTCTCTCTTTTGGATAAAGTTTTATTTTATTTTCACTCTGGTTACCATGGAAGCAGCTGAGCTTAGGGCTCTGCCTTGAAGATTTGTAGTTCTAGAGAGTGTAGTACTGACCAGTCTAAAATGATTCTCATTACTAATAATAAAATGGAGTGCCCAGGATGTCCAGGCACTGCTCTAAGCCTTTTATATGTCTTATTTAATCCTCTGCAAAGTAGATATTATTATCTCCTTTTTAGTAGGTGAGGAAACTGATGCCCGAAAAGGTTCGGTAATGTGCCGAGAACACCCATCTTGAGGATGGAACCAGTTTCGAAGCCATGTCCCTAATTGCTAAGTTACCTCAGTTAGAAGTGGTCTAGGCATGAAGGTAAAAGGGTTACTTCTTTATACTTAGTATCAAATTAAAACTGCTACTGGTGAGTATTAATATTCTAACCTTTTTCTCTTTCTTTGTGTACGTGCAACACTACTAATTAGGGACACAGGATTTGTGGCTATGATTTAGCAGTAGTGCCTTTTAACGAGATCTGCATCTCACAGTTACCAGGGATACATCTTGACAAAACATGTGCTCAGGGTCTATCCCTGGAGATTTCAGAATCTGTACATCTGTGGTAAGACACAGGTGGTTCTCAGGAAAGTTCTCTGTAATCTGATGCACATTCCTGGTCCAGGACCACTGCATAGCAGTTGTTACCCTAACCATGGAGTGTTTGTTTCCTTCAGTGAAAGAGATTCACAGAGTATCATTTTATGATTTAGGGAGAGTTTAACTGAACCATGTATAGTCTTTTGTTCTGCCGTGAAATAACAGGTACATTTTCAGTACATCACTCCTTCAACTTAAATACCCAGCCATCTCAATAGAATCCTCCAGATCCCACGATCATTTAGCAGAAAAACAACGAACAGAAAGATAAAATCCACACCCTTGGAAGAAAAAGGAAAGGAAGGAGCTGTCTTCACAGTGTGTGCGGCATGCTTCCCATACTCCTACTGAGTCCGAAGCATTTCACTGCAGTTGGAGAAACTAGGCTATGTCTTTATTTCTAGGTCTTATTAACTAGGAATCTGATCTTTTCCAAGGCATTTTTTTAACCCTATTTTTCTCATTATGGAACAGTTGAGGGTTTTGTGTTGAGGTTTACTTGTGTGTGTGTTTTTAATCATTCTAACAATATAGTTTACTATCTCTTGCTTCTTTCTCTGTATAATGCTATGAGATTTCAGGCACTCCATCCCCAAAGGAAATTGTTCCTTATTTAACCCTATGCTAACTTTGGAAAGTTCCTTCCAAATGGAAAACATTTTATATGTTTATGCCTAAATTTAAAAATCATGTTAAACTCTGGAATAGGAGCACTCTTTCAAGATACTTTGTATAGTAGTTACTGATTGCTGAGAAATTTTGCAAGTGTAAATACAAATATCCCCTATTTCATCATTCTTGGCCTACGTACTCTCACCTGCTCCCTCTCCTAAGATCTCAAGGGTATTTTCACATGTTTAGTTACTCCTCAGAAGCTAGGTAGAGTAAACTAGGGTTCAGGAAATGCTGGATGGTAGGTAGAACCCTTTGAACATCCTGTACAGTGTTCTCAGTATTACATTTTCACTTGGGGATTTGTGTGTGACCATCGTGAGTGCCTTCAGCAGTCGCCTTTATTACTTGTCCAGAATTGCTGGAAGATTCATTTGTGTTTAGAGATACTCGTTTAGAATGTGGGTGAAATTTGAGGTGTGGATTCTATTGGAGGGGAAGAGGAGCGGAGTGGGAGCTTAGGTGCAGGCACCCAGCTCTCGCTTCATTGCAGCAGCACTTGTGTTCTCCGGTTTCAGACCCATTCAAAGGGGTAACGAGAGTACAACTGGGACTTTGGTTGAGTTTAAAAATCAAAGGAAGGGTCCTATTTTCGAACCATGTACAATACATGCCCCTCTTCAGAGGCTTTTTCACAGTGTGCTGTCTACAGATCTGTGAAACAGTCTGCAAGTTGTCTCCTCTCCCAAGTGAAAGGGCCACGCACTGCTCTCTGGGCCGTGGAGACAGGGCAGGGCGGTGAGCACTAGAGGGGTAAAGGCCACACGTTTCCTCTGTCCCTTGAGCAGTCTCAGTAGAGCTTACCCGTGTTAGCCACGTAAGGTAAGAGTAGGAAGCAGGAATCTTGAACACGGGGTAGCTTTTACTGATTTTGCTAAGGCATAGGAGTCCGCTAAGAAGTGCTGCCACAGGAGGCTGTGTGATGTGGTGACAGTAACTGACCCACTGCGTTGCAGACCCTCTGTCTTCATAGAGGATAAAGCCGTGGACACTCTGGCTTATCTCAGCGATGGGGACGCCCGGACGGGGCTGAACGGGCTGCAGCTGGCTGTGCTGGCCAGGCTGAGCTCCAAGAAGATGTTTTGTAAGAAAAGCGGGCAAGCCTATCCTCCCAGCAGAGCTCTGATCACTGAGAAGGACGTGAAGGAAGGCCTCCAGAAGTCACACATTTTGTATGACCGAGCGGGTAAGTGGCTCTGAGGTGTGGAAAGAGTGAAGCTTTAATGAAGTTGTGTGTGCACACTTCCAAGCCTCTGGCTTTTGTTGGGGTCCAGAGCATGAGCATGTTCCTCAGTGGGATCTCCAGGTTGTCACAGAATTGAGCCTTACACTCAGACCTGATTTCAAAGACCCAGCTCAGCATTCTTGAGAGGTGCAGAGCAGAAGCTGTCCTGTTGGGAACTGAGAGGGCTTTCTGGGGGTGAAACCACAGGCTTCACGCTTTAAGACCCATACATTCGGTTGACAGTAATTCTTGTGATTATAACAGTGGGGCTCTTGAAATTAGGGATTTATTTTATTTAATGAGAATTAAAATTCTTAATTTTTAGAGTCTGAACTAAACATTAAGTTCATTTGGATCTTGATGCTTTTATTTCATAGTAGCTTTTTAAAAATTTTTCATTTGTGCAATTGTCTGTTTTTGTAGAACCACATTTACAGATACCAGTTTTGATAGCAGCTCTTATTAAATCTGTGAGCTGGCAATATTAAATATCACGAGTGCAGCACGTTGGCGTCTTTTTATAGAAGATGTGGGTGAGGAAGACAGCGCACTGTAGATTAGACTGGGTGTCTTGGGCTTGAGTATTTGTGTGGTTGTGGACACGGCAGTAACAGGAACAGAAAGGGAGTTGATGATTGAACATCCCAGACCTGGAGGCTACACCATGTCTCTAACAGGATTTCCAAATGCCTTTTGATTTTGGAGAGCTCGTCTTTCTTGTTAGAGAAGGGGCGGGGAATCTAAGAAGGACTGGTTCCAGGCACTGTCTCCCAATGGGGGAGCAAACAGCAGATGTGCGCGACGTGGGGAAGTGCCCAGAGCTCCTGGGCATAGGCACCTCAGCTGATGGAGACGGTGGCTGAGAGGCACGAAGGACACATCAGAGGCCTTTCAACAGTTCTCTTTACTCTCTGATGTGAGTGTGCCTCTCAGCAGGGACTTCTCATCCCCAAGGACCTCAGATGGCCAGCTCTCAGTGCCCTTGAATGTCGTGAATGCTTGGAAAATCTGAAAAGCAAAACATTCTGGATGTAGAGTTTTGCTTTATTTTTGGCCAAATACAAGCATTAGAGATACGGACAAAATTAAAAATTTTAAGAGGTAGAAATAGTCCGATGTGCTGGACTCACCATTGTTTCTGGGGCCCCATCAGCAGAGGGCTTTTTCCCCTCATAGGAAGTGCCTTAAAAGAGGCTTCATTTTGATTCAACCAACTAGAACTGTGCTTCCATGTTCTATCAGACTGTCCTTTAAAAAATAGAAAGCTACCACTTAACTAACATAACATTAACATTAAATCTCAGTATTTTATATACATTGTTTTTTAATTCTCAAAATAACCTTAGGAGGTAACTGTTAATGTCTGCATTTTACAGATCACAAAACTTGCCTAAATTCATAAAGCAAGTAGTTAAATTCATCCTCAACTCCAGGTCTGACTGGTCACGAGGACTGTGTCCTTCCCCACTGTGGTGCCACCACCACGCCAGCCCCACCCATGGTCCCCAGGCTCACGGTGGGAGCAGGTCACTCCCTCAAGGTGCTCACACTTGTGCACATTCACACCTACCTGCCCACAGACACGCACACACAGGGTGACAGACATGTCCAGTCCTCAGGCTCCTCTTTCTTGGGGCGTGCATTCCATCCAGGGGAGCCATCACCGTGGGGATCACCTTTCTGTAGGTCTCTGTGCCCAGGAAGAACTGGGCCGTGGAAGCGCCTGGAGCCTGGTCTCGAGAACCCAGACAGCCCACAAGTCTACCAGTCGCCCTGCCCCACGCTGACATCACGGTGTGTGATGTGTCCACTCCACAGTAGACCCAGAGGCACTCAGACAAGGCTCAGACCCTGCAGAGCTGGGCTGTCCCATCGACTGGGTGACAGCAGCATTACCCAGAACCTGCTGGCTTATACTTCAGGCCTGTGATAACTCTGGTGCAACAAAGACCCTACCCCCAGGATTCTAAGTATTTCTTTCAGTGTCATCTAGTATATAGTTGACCCAGTGACTACCTCAGATAAGTCTCCATCAGAATGAAGAAATTTCCAAGTGAGAACACATTCTCTGCTATGCATTGAGGTCAGAGTTCTGCATAAATAATGTGAAATATTAAGTTATAAAGTGGTATATAATAAAAGCAAAACTAGAAGCTAGCATAGAATAATGACCTAGCACAAGTTTCTATAGTGCTTACTCCATACCAGGCATACATTATTTAATACAACCATATGAGCTACTGGTCTTATAATACCCATTTTACAGATGAGAAACCTAGGAGGCATAGGGGTCAGGAACTTGCCTAGAGTTACATGGCTAATCCGTTTGGCATTCATACCTAGGCTGCGCGGCTCCAGAGCCCAGGTCTTAACCACATTGCTTTTTAGTGTTGACCCTCAGAAAGTCAGTAACCTCTGTGGCTGGGGAATCCTTGCCATCATCTTGTTACCATTGACAGGAAGCAAAGAGGAGGTGGCTGCTTCCATCCCCTCCATGTCTGTGAGTCGACCACACCTGCACTGCTCAGCCCCTCCCTGTGTCCCTGGATGGGGACAGCACAGGGTCAGTGTCTAGGCCTGTGAAGGGGGTGGGCAGAGCCATGTGGATTTCATGCAAGACACTCTTCCAGCCAGTCTGCCTGCCACTGGGACCTAGCTGAGGAAGCCCTGGGACAGGCGACAACTCAGTTTGTCCACAGAAGTCCAGCAACTCTGCTAAAATGTTGATCTGCCCTGGTGCTCCTCAGGTCCCCAGTCACCTCCCAGGTCCTTCTTCAGTGGCAGGCCAGCTTCAGCCGTGCTCCCATCTGAAGGCTGTCACTTTCCGGCAGGATTGAGTGCCCAGGGCTTATCCCTGCGCCCATGTGCTGTGTGGAGCAGGTCATAGTCTTGTTGGCCGAGGCTTGAGGTGTGCAGACCAAGGGCTTCTCTGAAGGACTGATGCAAATAAGGAGCAGGGTGCCCTTGCCTCAAAATGAGGAGGTCAGGAAAGAGTGAGATGTGCAAATGCAGATGTGTGGCCAGGATTTCCTCTCCTTATGCATGTTCTTCTAAAGCACATTTCACTGACTTGTTGTCATGGGTAAAAGTGGTGAGGGAGAAGGGCTGCAGTGCTCTTAAGGGTGAGCACTTGGTCGCTGTGTCAGTCCTGGGATCCTGCCCCACATGTGTCCTCACACCGGGTTCAGATGACCATGGGCTTCAGATTCCAGAAAGGCAACTGGAAAGACTGAGGAACAAATGGCCCGCAGTGGCTGTTCTTGCCACTCAACTCTTTCTACTGGCCCAGGGCCAGTTTTCCTCAAGTTGGCAGTGGCACAAGGTGGAACTGGAACGTTGAATCCCTCTCTCCACTCTTAGCTCTGGCACTTCAACAAGGTCGGCGAGGACCACCCTTCACAGTGAAGGTCCCTCCCATCGCCTGGTCTGTGCTCACAGTCGGTGTGGACAACCATGAGTGTCCAGCAGCCTCCTTCTCTGAGTGGGGCTGGGTTCCCACAGGATCCCACACAGGCATGCCCAGCTCCCACAGGGGTGCCCTGTGCCCTCAAACGGAGCAGCTCAAAGGTAGCCATCAGGCTCCCTGCTCCTCAGCTTCTCCAGGCTGCATGGTTTAGGCTTCCCCAAGTCAGCAGGCAAGAGCAACACAGGGCTTGGTGGGCCCTCCTAGTGCCGTGGAACCCCTCTTCCTGCAGTCACTGAGCACGTGCTTTCTGTGGTGTCCAGGAGAGGAGCACTACAACTGCATCTCCGCTCTCCACAAGTCCATGCGGGGCTCGGACCCCAGCGCCTCCCTCTACTGGCTGGCACGCATGCTTGAAGGAGGTGAGGACCCGCTGTATGTGGCCAGGAGGCTGGTGAGGTTCGCCAGTGAGGACATAGGTGAGTGTGAAGTGTGATGGGAGGGCCCAGGCTTGGTGGCCTGGAGGGCTGGGGGAGGGGATGCTGCTGTTTGGCCTAAGTGGGACAGGGAGGATTAGAGTGAAGCATTAGCTCAGCATGTTCCTGGGGTGTGAGCTTTCAAGTGTCTATTCCTAAGTCACCATTTGTGTCCTCTTTGGCGGCGATTTTCCTAACATGAGTGTCGAAATAAAAGAAATATTTTAAATTTGCTTTCCAGTCAGGTGTTCAGGTTTTTATTGGATGGCTTCTGAGAGGGAAGTGAAGATTGTGGACACTGTTTAAAGGAAAAAATGAGAAAAACTTTTCTGTGGTGTTTGTATCCATCCTGGGACTGTCTTCATGGTCTCCACCCGTATATTTATTGTACACATAGTCTCTTTTTTTTTTTTTTTGACACCACACAGTAACCATTAAGTAAATATGTCCTGAATACGCTAATGAGGTCAGAGAAAAGTCCGTCCATTCTGCTAAGTGGGATTTTTTTGGTCAACAGTCTGTGGGCAGTGATGGTCTCAGCTCCCGGCAGCACGTAGACAGGTCGGGGCTGGAGTGCACTGTGACCTATACCCCCCCTTCTCTCTGCAGGTGGGGGTGGGGGTGCACTGTGACCTATACCCCCCCTTCTCTCTGCAGGTGGGGGTGGGGGTGCACTGTGACTTATACCCCCCTTTCTCTCTGCGGGTGGGGGTGCACTATGACTTATACCCCCATTTTTCTATGCATGTGGCGGTGCACTGTGACTTACACCTCTCTCTCCCTGTGCACGTGGGGGTGCACTGTGACTTACACCTCTCTCTCCCTGTGCACGTGGGGGCGGGGGTACACTATGACTTATATGCCCCTTTTTCTCTGCAGGTGGGGTGCACTGTGACTTACACCTCTCTCTCCCTGTGCACGTGGGGGCGGGGGTACACTATGACTTATATGCCCCTTTTTCTCTGCAGGTGGGGTGCACTGTGACTTACACCTCCCTCTCTCTCTGCAGGTGGGGATGCACTGTGACTTACACCTCTCTCTCCCTGTGCAGTTGGGGGTGGGGTGCATTGTGGTTTACACCTCCCTCTCTCTCTGCAGGTGGGGGCGGGGGTGCACTGTGGCTTATACCCCCCTTTCTCTCTGCAGGTGGGGCTGGAGTGCACTATGACTTATACGCCCCTTTTTCTCTGCAGGTGGGGGTGCACTGTGACTTATACCTCTCTCTCCCTGTGCAGGTGGGGGCGGGGGTGCATTGTGGTTTACACCTCCCTCTCTCTGTGCAGGAGGGGGCGGGGTGCACTGTGACTTACACCTCTCCCTCTCTGTGCAGGTCTGGCAGACCCATCCGCATTAACACAAGCCGTGGCTGCCTACCAGGGCTGTCATTTCATCGGCATGCCTGAGTGTGAGGTATGTGGTCAGCTCAGCCATCAGCAAGTCAACTCCTTTCTCTGTGCTCTGTCCCCTGTGGGTTTGTGTATATGTTCTGCTCCACTGTTAGGTAATGTGTGGGCCCACCAAAGAAGTTGCTGGGCTTTTTAACTCTATTTTATAAGCTTAGACGAGAGAGGGGGGGACCTTGAGTATCAAGATCAAGTTTTCAGACTATTTCCAGGAGTCTGGGGTTCAGAGGAAGTGCTGGGGGCTTCCTGGGGCAGGTTTGTAGCTGAACAGGAAGTCTGTGCAAGTTCACCCACAAACAGCAGCAAGCTCTTCAGTTTGAAAAAAGAAAACCAGGGATCTGGCTCAGCCTCTCCTTGTGTAGGAACTTCTTTCTGTCGTAGGTGGTTGTCCAGACTAGAGGCAGAAAGGGGGGTAAAAGCGTGGCAGGAATCTTTTCAGAATTACTAGAGACATCCGTAGAGCATTATGCAAAACATAAACCTGGCTCCTTCCTAACAAAATGTCTTCTTTCACCTAGGTGCTTCTGGCCCAGTGTGTAGTCTATTTTGCCAGAGCCCCAAAGTCTATTGAGGTGTACAGCGCCTACAACAACGCCAAAGCCTGCGTGCGCAGCCACCAGGGCCCTCTGCCCCCCGTCCCGCTGCACCTGAGGAACGCGCCCACCCGGCTCATGAAGGACCTGGGCTATGGCAAGGGCTACAAGTACAACCCCCTGTACAGTGAGCCCGTGGACCAGGAGTACCTGCCCGAAGAGCTGAGAGGAGTGGATTTCTTCAAGCAGCGGCGGTGCTGACTCTTAGGCGAGACAGCAGAAGGATGTTCCTTTCTTTCTTTCTTTCTTTCTTTCTTTTTATTTTTAGCAAGAATGGCCAGAAAGAGAGTCAGTGGATTGTGAAGTTGGTTGCCTGTTAGAAGTTAAAACAGACCAACCTCTTGTGCCAGAAATGTGAGGGTTTCTTAGGTGGGGGCACAGCCACTTAAACTGTGTAAGGGTGAATTGTGTTCATTCACACTCTGCAGTGGTTATGCTGGTGGAAGCATCTGGCAGCTTTGTGCAATGAATTAATGTTATAAGGAATTATCTATTTTCGCATAGTATTTAAGTCATAATGTCATTTCAGAATTCAGTTCTGTAGGATTTTTTTTTCTTTAAAAAATGTATATTCTGGGTAGTTTTAATTGGTAAAAAAAAAATGTAATTGTGGTTTAATACTGCATAGTGTTTGGGGTATTTTTTTTATATGCAAAGGTCTTATGAGCCAATAAAACTATTTCAAAGTACTCTTCAGATCCCTCCTGTTTTCCCCACCTAGGGTCCAGAGTCTGTCACCATCACACTGAGGGTGGGAAGGTAAATACCATAAAAAAAGTTATCATACTTGAAGTTGGAAAGCTTAGTATTTTTTTGAAAATTAATTTTAATTTCTTAAGGAATGCATGTAATTCTAGATGGCTTATAGAAATGCCCAGTGGTCTGTCCATTTCTCCCTACTTCTTCCAGTTGCTTCTTGCAGCAGCTCTGTGTTTCTAAATGATACAGGAATTTCACTTTTGTGTTTCCTAAAGTTAAATGTCACACATGCACATACACGCAGAGAGAGAACTTAGTTTTCTTTGTATCTACTGCTCATTCTTTTCAAACTCCTTAATGGCTATTTTGCACATATTTCCACAGTAATCCATGGCTTCTGACTCCTGCCCTGGTGTGCCCCCTCCTGGGCACTGCCACTCTGGAGTCTGCATAGCCATTGTCGTGGGACTTCCTCCGCCTCTCTCCTGAGAGAAGTCCTGCCCAAGTGGCAGGACAGTGCGATGGCACTCACTCCCCAGGAGCCTCCCTCCGCCTGGACTGGCCGTGCGTTAGTGTCCACTTGTCCCTTTGCTGTCACCCTGCAGATTTCCTTTTTTGACTCGTACCTGCATCACATCCAATTGCAGGGTCCTGTGCTTTCCTCTCTGCTTTGCTGGGGCACATTCTTCAGTAGCTTTAAGGTGTAGGAGGCAAAATATTTTTAGACGAGTGTCAAAATCTTGAGACTCATCTGATAATTCAGGAATAAATTCTGGGTCGGAAATTGTCAGTTGTCTGCCTCTTCCCCACGTTGCCGTCAAGAAGTTTGATGATGTTCTGATTTGTGACTCTGCTAGCTTATAGAATCTTTCTGTTCATCATATCAGAAAGTTTAATTTTACTGGTCATTTGGTGGAAACTCATGGCTTTTAGTTCTGGGACAGTTTCTTTTCATTCAGTAAATATTAAGTGTCTCCCTCATGCTGATCACTCCTGTTAGGAATGCATCAGTGAGCAAGAGAGAAATCCTGTGCCCGTGAGGCAGTATAAAAAATAACATTTTAGCCCGGCCAGGCGTGGCTCAGCGGTTTAGCGTTGACCTAGGATCCAGGGGTTCGATTCCTGGTCAGGGCACATGCCCAGGGTGCAGGCTCGATCAATGACTCTCATCATTGATGTTTCTATCTCTCTCTCTCCCTCTCCTTTCCTCTCTCTGAAAATCAATAAAGATATTTTTTTTAAAAAAATAGCATTTTAATGTATCAGTTAAGAAGTGCTAAGGAGAAAAGAATCAGGATGGGGAGAGAAAGGGTTGGGAGGTGTGGTTGCAGCTGTAGAGTAGCCTGGATTTAGTTAGAGGAGCCTAGGTAGGAAGAATGAGAGGACATGAGTGAGCCATTCAGGTATCTAGAAGGTCATTTCAGGGGGAGGGAGCAGCAAGTACAAAGGCCCTGGGAGGAAAGTGCCTGGCAGATTGTCCAGTAAGGAGGCCACTTATGGGAGTGGGGGGGAAAAACGGGGGGCAGTGTGAGTGGAGGTCAGGAGATGCCGGGAATTCAGATTACATGGAACCATTTTGTTCATGGGAAAATCTTTGGCTTTTACTCATGGTTTCTAGCAAAAGGGTGTCACAATGGGACTTATGTTTTATAAGGGTCACCATTGCTGCCGTGTTGGGACAAGATGGCAGGGCGGGCAGAGGGGGGAGACAGGAAATGAGAATTTGCTGTATTCCGGGAGAGCTGATGGTGAGTGGGGTCGTGGTCAGTGTGGTTGGCTTGTGAATATGCTCGAAGGGAGAGCCAGTGACACTTGTTGACAGGCTGAATGTCGTGCACGTATGTGAAAGGAGTTGGTGGCGGCTGCCATTTACTGAGAATGTAACAAGGAGCAATTGGGTCTAGCACTTGGCACGGACAAATCTGAATCCCCAGGAATAACCCAGGAAGCAGAGCACCTCTGTTTACATTTTCAGGATAAGAACAGGCGTCAGAAGGGTTTGGCCCTGGCTCAGGAAGAACCAGCCGGCAGGCGAGCACAGGCCCTCCCACGGGAGCCGGGAACCCGGCCCCTCTGTAACTCACGGTGGGGGTTGGCCTCCCTCGGGCTGCTCTTTGTGTAGATTTCTTTGGTCCTTGTTTCCCATCCTTTTGCCTTTTTGTTCCACTTTCTGGGAGATTTCCTCAACTTTGTTTCATGCCTTAAATTTGCCATCATTGTGTGTTAAATTTCCAACAGCTCACTTTTCTCTTGTCTCTTTTGTTTGGGTTTGGTGTGTGTGTGTGTTGTAGCAGCCTGTGTTTATTTACTTTTATGACTGCTTATCTCCCTGAGAGACTGAGACCAAAAGAAAACCTGAGCAAAAGCAGAGGCCAGCCATATTCCTAAGTGTGACTTATTATGAACATGATTTATTATAAACATTTAATTTGTTTCCTTATTCCCATGATGCTCAGCATTTAGAACGTGGTCAGTTCATATTTGTGGAGTGACCAGAGTGAATGAGTAAACGTGCACTAGGATGTTCACGTAGGTGTCTTAAAATCGGTGTGTCCTTGCCGCTCCCGTCCACCGGGAGGCAGGCTTCCCCAGAGACAGGACAGGCCACTGTTCAGGCCTCACGGAGCCTCCACCCAGAGCGGAGGGCGCACAGCCAAGATTTTCAGTATCTGTGATTAACCTCGTAGACTACGGAGCCGTTTTTAAGAAGTATATTTATTGGATGACAAAAGTAAAAAGAGGTGTGGGAGGGGATGCAAAAAAAAAATCAGCTTCAATATTTTTTCTGTGGTAACCTCTGTGACCATTTTTGTGTATGTCCTTTGGGTACTTTTCTAATGAGGCTCGGGAAGTTGAAAGCATGCATTATCTGTCACAGCTGGCTTTTTCTCACGTCACCACCTGATTTTTTACATCCTGAAATTTGTCTCTTAGTGTGTGACTTAGCCGCTGGGGGGAGGGGGGCTGGGGGGCTCAGGTTCTGTGCGCCACCCACCAGCTTTCCTGCCCACACTGGCTGTGGCAGGTGGACGCCTCAGCCGAATTAGTAACCGTTAGAGAAACAGGGAAGACATTCTACAGGCTTCAGCCCACTTCCTCTCCTCCCCTTCCGCCCCTGGGCTGGCCGGCCCTCACCTCTGGGCTGGACACCTGTCCGATCATATGCCAGCAGCCCCTCCTCCCCCTGCTCAAACTCCTGACGTGGAGTTTTACACTCTACTCTCAGTGTGAGAACAGAAGTCCGAAATTTAGTCCCGAGACCTGCGATCTGGCCCCGGCCACCTCTCCAGCATCATTTACACCACTCTCCTGCCCTCCCGGCCTTCAGCCCTGCACCTCCCCCCACTTCCACTCTCACTGTTTCTTTCAGCTGTTCTGCCAACTATGCACAATGAAGGACCTGGGCGCAGGGATCTGCTTGGGTTCAAGTCCTACCTGTGCCATTTCTCCACTATGTGGCCTTGACTGTTTTCATCTTTTTCCCCCTCCCCACATCTGAAAAATGGGAGTCAAAATGTTGCCTGACCCATGGGGACCACCTGGTTTGAACTATGTAACCACTGAGAACCATGTCTGGCACCTGGGAAGTTCCTGCGGAGCTAGTTGTGACCGTTCCTCATTCTGATCTCCGCTCAAACACCCCTTTCTAAGGGAAGCCCCTGGCCCCCAGGACAAGTCAGGCTCCCACCCAGCCGAGCACCCAGCCCAGCATATGCTCCCACCACCCATGAGCTTCTGCCCTGAGCTCTGTGGGCATGTGGGCCTCCCCCGGGCCGCAGGTCACCAGCCGGATGGCGCTCTGTCCTGTGCGCTGTGCAGTGCACGAAGGCATGACCCCTCACTGCCTTCCCTGCGGGCTAGCCTGGGGACAGTGCGGGATGCACCTTCCAGGGACACGTGATGCTTAACTCCGGCTGGCACCAGTCATTCAGACGTGTGTGCTGCTTCTGTGTCAGCAAAGAACAGTCTGTTCTCAGTTTCCGAAATGACCAGCGTGAGAGTACTGTCGTCACGTCTGTTTCAGGTACAGAAGAGGACTTCGGGACTACGAGTGCTTCAGTGACTTCCCAGGGTCACCGAGGAGGCTTGGAACCCATGAGGTCGGCCTGCTCACCACCTTGCCGGGGTCTCATTAAAACCCCAGAGTTTCCAGTCCGTCTGCGATGAAGCCTCAGGGCTGCTGCTGGTCCCTGCAGACCCACTCGCAGAGCCGCTGCTGCCCTGTGCTCCCGCCAGCAACACCCGGAGAGGGCCTCAGAGGTGCCCGGGCTCTCCTCAGAGCCGGGGAAAGCGGCAAGGCGTGTCCCCCGCGCTGGCTGCCCCCTCTCTCCCGCCTTATCATCCCGCATCAAATAGCCGCCGCAGGTTCCCCCGCCTGGCGCTGGTTCCTCACCACACTTGGGACTGACACGCGGTGGGGAGCGGGGTGCTGGGGGTGCTAGCGAGGCACGCCCGGGCGTCTTTCTTATTCTCACAAAGGCACTGGGGCTGGCTGCGCCCGAGGAAAGAGAGAGATTGCTGAGTAAGACCACCTCTGTGCTTCGTGCCTATTTTGATGAACTTCCAGCTTCCACTGAAAACACCC